AGCTTAGGCCCCAAGCAAATGAACATTAGGGTTTTCCCTAAATCCTAGATCCCTCAGCTATATAAGGAGCCTCCTGGCTCCCAAAATTGGCACTCCTTCTCTTGAAGAAACCCTAGGGCGATTTTTGCATACCCTAGCCTCTCTCCTCACAACTTTCCTTCTTGCTAGCTCTTGGGTGTGATTTCATTAGAGGCATTACAATTGTGGTGCTAGGCTTCCAAGAAGATCAAGATAAAAGGATTACCAATTCTTTGCTATAACAATTGAAAGGTATGTAACTCTAAAACCCTAGTTGGTTAATTTCGAAAATAGCCTCTCTCCTTAGGGTTCTTGTTTTGCAATTCAAAGTTATATGTTCAATAGTTAAAACATAGATCCAAAGTAGGTTGCATGTGAACCTAGGAATTGTTTTCTAGTTTATTTGTTTTACCCAAAACCCATCATTTTTAACAATGACATTATTACTTCTTTTACTTCTATTTGACAACATCAAAACTTTTTCAAATAAGACCAGTATTTTGTATATTAGATCGTAATCAATGAGAAGTTGAGAACAAGGAATGCTTTTATCTAATTATTTTTTACCTTTGTTTTATTACTATTATCAGTTTTTATTATTTTTATACGAAAAACATTAACCATACAATTGCAAACAATTATTTTTATACATGATTTGAATTTTGACTATAAGTCTATCATCATTATTTTTAATTAATATTTAAAATGGTTTCAAAATATTAAACTATGTTCAAGTCAAGATAAAAAACGAAAAAAAAAGATACCCTATCGGGAACTGTCATTAAATGAATATATAAACAGAAAATATGGAATTACAGTTTAAAATAAAGTACAAACACTTAAACTATATGTTGGGAAAAATATCTTGGATCTCTTGTAACCATTACATATTTGTTTTATTAAGTAGATATCTTATTGTTAATGAAAAAAGAAAATCGGATTTCCCCAGGGTATCTTGGATCTCTTTTATCTAATTATAAAAGTTATGATGTTACTTTTTATCCAACTTACTTTCAGTTCGATGGACTTTAATATCAGACGTCTTGAACCCTTTTCAATTTGACCATCATTAAGTTCTGCAATGAAAACAAAACCTTTGTAAGGACAGAAGCAAGAAATTAAAAACCACTTGCCCAAGGGTTGATAAATCTTATACAAGACACAATTAGATGGGAAAATAAACCCGATAAAGAACCCAATACGATAGGACAAAACACAGTCTAGTAATTATAATTTAACCGACCAACAACCCAATTATACAGTTTCATAACATGAATCAAATAACAGTAAAACAATTGATTAATGCCAAAGGAAAGAAATAGACTAACTTGAGTACCAATAAAACAATGGATTTGGGACCTGTAAAGACAAACACACACACACACACACATACACACCGTTAAACAAAATCACCACCACATTACCCTTCATATATCAACTTATAAGGTCCAGAGCTTCTGAATCCATGTTTGCAAGACTTGGTTCACTCACGAATTTTCGAATTGTATAGAAACGATATGTTCCATTTAACCTACAAAAAAGAAAAATTAATTTTGTAGATCTAACAAATTCATCAGTGTTTTTTCGAAAAAAAAAATCATCACAGTCAAAAGAAAAGGAACTATCCCCATCATATTCAGGAAACCCATGAAACTGATCCCTTACCAGTTGGTGTTGGTTGTGAAAGATTTGATCACACACTCAACCATAGGCTTTGTTTAGAAAAAGAGGAGACGAAGAAACTTGTTCTTGTTGGAAACCCCAAAATCAAACCAAGCCATGTTCATTGAAAATCCTTAAAATCGTTTATCTTTTGGTTCATTAGATAAGCGAGAGACAGGTAGTGACTAAAAATGACAAAATCACATACGACCAGATCCAAAAACTAAAATTGGTTAACAATAAAAGTACCTCATTGGTTTTTAAACCAGTACCAAGAAATCTTGGTCAATTGGCGAGAGAGAACAGGGATTCGCCTTTTCCTTCAAGCCCGAGAATAGAGATGAAAAGGAAATATTATTGTAATTTCTTCAATATAAGAGATGAAAAGGAAATCTAGTTGTAATTTCTTCAATATAAGAGATAAAAAAGAAGTTGTTTTACCTGAGATTTGTACAAAGAATGGAGGTGGTACGGTGGTTCTTCCAGAGACATAGATCGAGTGAGATAGAGATGAGAGATGGTATGCTTCAGTTTGCCCTAAAGAAAAAATATGAAATCGGTAAATAAACAGACCTGATGAACCAAACGCAAAAATGACATCTTCTTGATCACGGTGGAGGTTTAGGCGATAATCATGGAGATGCTACGATCAATGATGGAGAGGAGGCCGACATGAAACCCAGATTCAAGATGGTGGTGGTAACAGATGCGTAAGAAGGGTTATGGTAACATGAGGTAATTGTGATTTAGGGTTTCTCGATGAAGACGACTGATTTAGGGTTTTAGTGAGTGATTGTGAGTCTAGGAATAAAAAATATTGTTCAATTCCCAAAGTAATTCCATAATCGATTCATGAGTAAGTGTATTGGATGATAAGTTGTACATGAGGTAGTACGTATTGTACCTCTTAAATTTCAAGAAACAGACAATATATTTAATAATATAGTAAAGATTAAGATATTTATAAAAATAACGGATTAATATAATATCTGATTCCTATAGAGCAATTGAATTAGTATAACATCTAAAATTTTATAAAATATTTAGATTTTTATTAAATGTATAAATATCCAAACTATAATTTATCCTGATATTCTAAAAAAGTATATAAAATGATAAGTGATAAAAACAATTAAACATGATGACATGATAATATTTGAAATAGATTATGTAGATTATAATATAAATTTAAATAAAAAATTGATATGACATTGGATTAAATTTTATTTTTTAAGGGTTGAATTAAGGTTGTCAAAATCGCTATCTTGATTGTAGGATCGTAGAATCGTACAATCCAACGATCCTACGTATGAAAAACGAGTCGGATCGTATATGGATCGTATTTGAGATATGATTGCAGGTAGGATCGTGAAATTGGGATCCGATCCGATCCTACCTTCCCTTGATTTTTTTCTTTTTTTTTTTTGAAAAAAATGAATTTACCACTTTATGTCTTTTATCTTTTACGAGTTTACCATTTATCATTTTATGTTGTGAGTTGTGACTAATGCTTTGAAGTTTTTATGGTTTTTGAACGGAAAACTGAATCTTTGAGATATTTTTCATGTTTTTAAATTATAAGTTCAAATTATGTTTTATTTTGTGGGATTTTAGGACCCCGATTCCGATTTTGCAAACCCAAAAACGATCCTACGTAAAATCCCTCCCGATCTTGACAACTTTGGGTTGAATGACCAAAGATAATCTTAATTACCAAGCAATGAACTAGTTATCAATATATCAATAATTCAATTTGCATGTCGTTTATTTGATTATAGACCTATAATATATATGTTTGATTTTAACACCATGTCAATCTTTTGAATATAAAGTTTATGCGTATATCATTTGGAATGCACATCCTCAATAAGATTCACTAATATGATTAAATTTTATATAAAAATAAATATAGAAATAAAAAAGCAAGTAGCCCATGAAAGTTTCATAGGATGAGGCCTTCATTGCCGACCATTCATCTGAAGATAACAAAAACCCTCTAAAATCACAACTACTCTATCCCCATCATATCTGCTTCTTCTTCTTCTTGACCCAAAAATACACACACTCAAAACATACACACACATACACACGCTTAATGGCTCTTAGAATGTGGGCTTCTTCCACAGCCAATGCTCTAAGGCTATCCACTTCTTGCAGACCTCATTTCTCCCCTCTTGCACGATGCTTCTCTTCAGGTAAATTACATTTCTACCTTCGAATATATCTGTAATCCATGTTTGTTTTTCTTATGTCCATTGAGAGGTGTTGCAGTTGTGGATGGGTTGAAGTATGCAAATTCACATGAATGGGTCAAGCATGAAGGTGCTGTTGCTACCATTGGTATTACTGACCATGCTCAGGTTCTTTGCCATTTTTTCTTTCTTTCTATTTACTTTTATTATTGTTATCAAGAGTTAAATGCATATTTATGTATACTTATGTTTGGTTTAATTTTATAAATAGATAACAAACTACTTTTTTTCTTTATAAAACACCATTGTTTTAGAAAAATATCATTATAAGGTAAGCTAATGGAACTTTTCGGTCACAAAATACGCTTCTTTTTATGGGTTTAATGATATTGTAAGAAAAAAAACATTCAAGTTGCTTACCTTTGTAAAAAAAAAAAATACGCTTATTTATGACATTAACCCTTTATGTCTTCAATTGTAAAAAAATGTAGGACCATCTTGGAGAGGTGGTGTTTGTGGATTTGCCGGATGCTGGTGGCTCAGTAACCAAAGCCACCGGCTTTGGAGCGGTGGAAAGTGTCAAAGCCACCAGTGATATTAACTCCCCAATCTCTGGAGAGATTGTGGAGGTGAACTCAAAGCTCACTGAGACTCCCGGTTTGGTAATTCTCTCTTATTTTCCATTTACAAAATAATTTGTTCGATTTAAAAGTCAAAACATATTATTTTGTATGACTAATGAATAAATTTCATGAATGTTAAAGATTAACACAAGCCCGTATGAAGATGGATGGATGATTAAGGTGAAACCAAGCAACCCATCGGAGTTGGAATCATTGATGGGCGCAAAAGAGTACACAAAGTTCTGCGAAGAAGAAGACGCTTCTCACTAGACTTGAACATACAAAATGTCCTATGAATTTTTTTCTTTTTCGTTTCTTCCTCAACTAACTGAAATCTCAGTTGTTCTAAATAAATGATATTATTTCAAAGGCTTGATGTTAATTTATTATCTATAAATTATGATACAAGTTTACCCGTTCATGTTAGCACATCTATCAAATCAATCACAATTTTATCCCATTTGAGGGTATATATCATATTTATACTGTCAAATGTTACAAAAGTACCACGAATTATATAATTTTATACAATTGTCACCCATATTTATATCATGAGCATATCAAGACCAATATGTGGAACCGGTGGAGGCCTTAAACCTCACCATAGCCGTTGCAGTTTGATGGGGAATAAGAAGCAATTGATATCAGTTTCAGTCTTAGTTCATTGCTGACTGTGTCAACTTTAGTTTGAGTAGCCACAACCTCAACTTTTGGGATTTCAGATTCAGTCACATGTGAAAAACTTTCGGGTTCACAATAAGAGATGGCGATGAGAGATTCCCTCACATGCTCGAGTGAAAACTTCTTTTTCTGTGGTTGATAATAACCCATGTAACGTAGTATGCTTTATCCTGCAAATATTCCGAATTAATGTAAACATCGTTTTTGTAGAAGGTTTGGTTTGATGACTCTTAGGCCTTGTTTGTTAGACAGATTAGCACAAGAACAGATTGCATTAGTGACAAAAAAAATGTAATCTTTTGTCTTTAACAGAAGAGATGTGTTCGATCGGGTGGTCCATAAATACTTATGTATGTGTTTATTTTCTTTTGTAATGGAAACATTCTTATATTTTCGCATATATAAGGTCCATAGAACTTGTAATTGATTGAGTAAATCAAATTGTTTTAAAACACGCGTAGAAATGGATTTCAAGTATGACTCGTATGATAAAAATGTTGGCATGTTTCTGTTTTTGATATTTTGGTCAAAGGTATCATTTTTTGAACCAAGATATGGCATGCTTTTACTCCCCGGTTTGAGATTTAAGTAGTTTTCTCATAATTCGATCATTTGGTTTCGCTTAGCTTAGTGATTTAACGTCAATCTTGGATATTAAATTTAAATAGAATTATGGAAAAAAGTCAAAATTGATATCTTAAAACAGAGGAATATGTTTTGTTATGGTTTTCATTGCTGTTCTTTTGTTCAGCTTCATAAAAATTAACAGAAATTCAATAATAAGTCAAACAAAAATAACCGACGCTTATAATAATGGAAAACCAAATCGAAAGAGTTTCAAAATAAATCAACTAAAAAAACAGAGGATAATATGAAAACCAACAAGAAATATAAAAACCATCCGCAAAACAATCAAGCGAAACCGAATTTTTGAAAACCAAAAACGCAGATCACGAGACAAAGGATAGAATTTCAGATTAAAATCATGAAGAAGAAAAAGAACAGACCTTAGTTATGGCGATTATGGGTGAAGCAACGGCGTGGATCTCTGCCTCCGTCCCTCGGCGTTTGGGGGAAAGGACAGGAGGAGCGAGGGAGGCGTTAGGAATGAGAGGTTTGGTTGGTGGGGGAGATTCTTTCGTCTGAATCTTTTGTACCCAAACTCCTTTTTTTTTCCGACGTGTAATCTATTAACCAATTTTGGATAGCTTTGACTTGGGATTTTGACTCTATCTATGTCATCCAATCCAATCCTCTAATAATAAAATAAGTAAAACATACTCGCCATACGATTTATAAAGCTTTAAATACAAACCTGCAGCTACAAAATAAAAATAATAATAATAATATAATAATAATAATAATAATAAGTTGAGTGCGATTAGAATGATTAAGAGCCTTTTCTTTTTCAGTGTGATCTGATGAAAATTATTAGTAACGATATACAAGTGTTTTCCCTTTTTAAAATAGAAAGAAATTTTTCTAGAGAAAGAGATTTTTCTTAGAGAATCTTTAGCTCAAGACTGAGAGAAGATTTTTCTTTATTTAAGATCAATAATTTGAAATATAAGAGATCGATCGTGTCATCTTTTTCAATATTACCAATAGAGAAAAAATTAATATGATTTTTTACCAGATACGCTGATGCATCGTTCCATTCTGACTTGATGTCATCAGCAGTGTGAAGAGAATCAACGTTAAGAATCCCAACATTGTCCTGTGAAGTGTCAGCATGAGATTCAGCAGTCTAGGCCATGAGACACTTAACTTCATCGTCTGAAGAGTATTCCTTGTCAAAAGCAAATGATAGAGTGATCATCATCTCTTGAGAAGTTGAGCAGTTTTGGACCAAACCATAGACATAAAAATGAAGTGAGTTCAAATAGCAATTCTAGCTTTTACATCAAGATTCGGCATCCCTTTCTCTTACGTGCTATAACAGGGAACAGACTTCCCTTTCAACTTACTGCCAGAGGCACCATTGTTTGATGATTGATGTGAAGCAGCTATAGGACCTTTGTTGACGACGTCGAGCATATCGAAATCCATGAACTCTAGAACATTCATGGCCTTTGATTCCAATCAGAGAAGTTGTATTGGTCAAATGGGGGAATCTTGTTACAAACAGATGACTTAGGAACTAAGGAAGACGGCATGATTACTTGAGTGTATCACAAACCTGCTCTGATACCAATTGAAGTTTTGTGTTTGATCGGATACACTTCAAGTATGAATAAGAAAAGCAAAACTAATCTAAGCAAAATAATCAACAAAAGGTAAATAACACAAGAGTTCTCCAAATGTTCATTTCACCAAGAAAAGAGGTTTTGTCTTCACTAAGAAGATGGGTTTGTGACAAGACAATTGACGCAAAGCCACAAACAAAACTACTCAACCTCACCCTAATGTTGTATATATACTAATCTATACATGTATATCTCATGATTGACATGACTGTATCTAATCTATACTAAGAACCGGTTTTATCATAAGGACATGGGATTTGATATCTATTCTATATTTATCTATAATAATTGTCTAATATACAAAAGATTACAATCGGACAACTATACTATAAGTTGACGCTGTTGAACTTATGATGCTGGCGCTGATGACTTGTAGATGCTGACGCTGATAGATCAACATATCATGTGTTTGACTCATCAGATCATAAGGTATGACCTTACACTTTCTTTAATTATATTTTCATAATTTACTGTATTGAATTCAAACATTCAAGTTGAGGACGGGGAATTCTCAAATGTTATTAACTAGAAAACCCAAAAGAGATAAACTAAAAAAATGGGAATATTTGAAACGTTTTGAAAAATTTGGGTCTAGTCATTGAATGTGGCATTCTAGACGTCGCCTTGGAGAACTGCCTGTCATAATTGATAACATCCATGAAGCCTATGGATAAATCTGAAAATTGGTTGACATCAGGCCGAACGGTATACGTACAACGAAGGAGTCTGTGGCATATGTGGCCACGAACCACGATTGTGCACACCGCCCCAGTGTGTCGTCGTGAGTCGTGGTCGTGGCTATTCATGGTGTCTATGACAGAGGCGGACATCCAATTAAATTTCGGGGCTTGCATTCGACCGTTCAACGATCAATTTTTGTAGTTTTTAATTTTTTTTACAAACTCAGTGCCTATATAAACACAATAAAACCCTCACTTTTCATTAAATTTTACACTCTCATTCTCTAAACCAAAAAACACATGAATTTCTTTAAAATTTTTGACTCGGATAATGACAGATAATTCATCTCAGCCTTCTTCAACATTGTACAACACTTTCACGATGAAGAAAGTTCGAATGTTGCACGTTCGATAATGGTCATCAATCGTGATCGCCAAGCCGCATACGACTTATTGGTACGTGATTACTTTGCCGATAATTGTCTTTACAATGAGGACTCGTTCGAACGTCGTTTCCGTCCAAATAAGGCTATATTTTTACGTATTAGTAATGCTTTAAAGGTCCATTATGATTTTTTCAAACAAAAACCCGATGCTAGAGGAAGAATGAGCTTTTTCTAGTATACAAAAATGTATCCTCAAAACATAACTCCATCTCGTGTGCACAATCAAGCCGACGCCTTCCCGCGATCCTGAGAAGTACCTGAAACACATATCACATAACATGGTAAGCACGAAGCTTAGTGAGTTCCCCAAAATACCACACATATCTCATTTGCCTCTAATGGCTATATCTCAATAACGGCCCTCCGATCAATGTGTCTCAGTGGAGACCCTCCGGTCCCACGACTCGGGGTGGACCCTCCGGTCCTAACTCAATGAAGCTCAGAATAATACACAACATAAATCACAATGACATAATGCAGAATATCACAATACTCAATAATAGCACACAATACCCTCCGGTCACACAAAGTTACCACTCATGGTAAGTATAATGAGAAGACTCACCTCATAAGTAAGCAAGTAAACCTCGTACCCCTAGAACGGTCTAACCCCCGCGTACATATCATAATCATCTCTAATTAACACTTATAACCACAACTCTAAATACATTAAGCTAACCCCTCTCTCTAACTCCCGGAATGGGTAAAAGACCATTTTACCCCTCCATGGTCTCCATAATCTAAGCCTTGACCAACCCTAAAAGTCAACATAAGTCAACACTCGAGTCAACAGTCCCTGTTGACCCGACTCATCGAGTGCATCTATGTGACTCATTGAGTCCCCTTGTTTTCCTCAGAAGTGTCGTGAATGTTCATCTTAACTCATCGAGTTGTCTCATCAACTCGCCAAGTTACACGTGTCCAGACTCGTCGGGGAAAACCCTAACCGACTCGTCGAGTCCGCTTACCGAATCGTCGAGTCTCTTCAGTCCCTTTTCTCATTCAGACGATTTTGGGCAGAAATGGTGTCTCATACTCTGGATCTAGCCTTCCAAGGCTCACTTATCAGATAAAGTTGCAAGCTTTACGTTCATGCATGGCATTTGTAACAACCATAAAATCATGCCAATTTTAAACTTTGTAAAACATTTATAATCCATGATTATTACAAAACTTGTTTTCCAAAATAGTATAATGTCAGAGTATCCCAGAATCAAATCATAAAATCATAATATATGAGGAGTTGTACGATCACGCCTTCGCCTTCCCACGATCATCAGAAGTACTTGAAACAATAATCGATAAATGTAAGCTCGAAGGCTTAGTGAGTTACCCCCAAAATACCAACGTCATAAAACATATCAATAACATATACGCAAAAAGCATGCATAATGAGCCATCAGCCTGACTGGTCCGCCTCGCAGGGCCATCAGTCTATCTGGACCGCTCTCCGAGCCATCGGCACGTCTGGACCGCCCTCTCGGGGCCTTCAGCCTATCCGGACCACTCGACGGGCCTTCGGCCTGTCTGGTTTGCCCTGCCCAGGCCTGCAGTCTATCCGATCCGCCCTGGGTATCTTGGCCTACAGCACACTGTAGGACCTGCCTCAACCCAATCCCCCAACCAACAAAACATGTACACATAAATATCATACGCTAGCATGCAATAACAGATAGTCATACAGATCTAACATATCACTATCATGGCAACCATCCTATAACCAGGATACCGATCTAACCGATCTCTAACATGGAAACCATCCTATAACCAGAATATCAATCTAACAGATTACTAACATAGCAACCATCCTAAAACCAGGATGAAATCTAACAGATCAATAACATAGCAACCATCCTAAAACCAAGATGTAAATCATAAAGGGTCAGCCTTGGTGCCATAGACCCTGTTGATATAGTGAGGAGAACTCACCTCACAAGTAGCTCGGAATGATACTGTCAGCTCCTCCAAATATAGTTCCGAACACCAACACCTATAATCACCAATGATCCATTCCATAAATTTCAATTTACCAAAATGCCCTCAGAAGTCAACTGGTCGACCTTTGGTCAAAGTCAAAGTCAAAGTCAACGGTCAAGGTCAACAGTCCATGTTGACCCAACTCGTCGAGTACAATATCCTGACTCGTTGAGTTCCTTCAGAACTCACAGAGTCATAAAACCCTAGTCGACTCGCCGCGTTTCCAGGCAACTCGTCGAGTTCAAGCGTGTCTAAAAGTCGGGAAAACCCCATCCGAATCATCGAGGCGTCCCATTGACTCGCCGAGTCCATGCAGAAACCATTCTCAGGCAATCTTCATCTGACTCGTTGAGTTGACCATCCAACTCATCGAGTCCCTTCAGTCCATTACTCATTCAGACGATTTTAGGCCACCCAAAGCTCTAAATTGTAGATCTAGCTTCCTAAGGCATGCTTATCACGTAAAGTTGCAAACTTTACGTGCATGCAAAGCTCGAGAGGCTTAGAATACCAAATACAAGCTTAAAATGGGGTTTAACTCAAAGGGAATAGCTCATACTTGCTAAAGCTGGAAACTTTATAGTTATAGAGACCAAGATAAGTTCAGATCTGAAGTTGCAACTTCAAATCCTAGCCCATACCCGAAAATGGTTCACATACATGCTAGAAATGCCCTAATCTTAAACATGAAGAGATCTAGAAGGAGGAAAGTCAAGGTAACGACTTGTTACCTTCAAAATGATGCCAATAAGCAGAAGAGTCAGATCCACCAGCTCTTCTATACTTCAATCCTCTTATACTTCAAGCCTTCCTCTTCCAAATCACCTTCCAAGCTTGAAAATCACACAAAATGGAGGGCACAAGCGAATTAGGGTTTCAGAGCTCAAGGGGACGGTGAGGGGAGGCCAATGGAGGCTAATGACCATTTAAATAGGGTGCAAAACCCTAAAAATTAGGGTTTCATCCTCCAGCTCCAGCTCTAACTCGTCGAGTCGTGTCCTCCGACTCGTCGAGTTGGTCACTTAAAACAGGCGGATGATTTCGTTCCTACTCGATGAGTCAGGGCATCCGACTCGTCGAGTAGACCCTTTAAAGTGGAAACAAAGCTGTAAAATTAATACCTGAGAGTCGGGGTGTTACAACATTTATGGCTCAAAATTCCAAAACAAGCTCCATAAAGAGGTCTCATGCATGGAAACTTGTCCAAATCTTGATAAAGCTTGGATCTTTGGGCTCATGGGACCTCAATATGTCGAGATCTGGAGTCTTAACTCCATGACAAGCTCATAACACTCTAGATCTCAAAGAAGGATGGGGGAAAAGGCCCTAAACTCCCTAAAACGAGATCTAACTAATCAATGAGCAAGATAGTGACTTTTTACCTTCAAATAGTAGCCAAGAATGAGTGAATACCAGATCCAGAAGCTCCTTCTCGTCCAAGGTCTCTTGCTCTTCCACTCTCCTCCAAGAATGCACTAAAACCCACAAAAATTAGCCTATCTTTCCCTCACACAAGGTTACAACTCGATTAGGGTTTCTCACAGTGTAGTAGGGTGACAAGGGTGGCAGAATTGAGGGCTTAAGGTCCTTTAAATAGGACACAAACCCGAAGAATTAGGGTTTCCTCACACAG